TTTCATGATATAATGAGAATAACAACATTTCCTTACGTGACAATCCCTTAAATTTTTCGCGACCCCTTATTAAATATTAACGATATAAGAAAAATATTCGGAAACCTATAAAACATTATTTTTTGTCAAAAAATAATGCGAACAAAATATTTTTTTCAGAAATTTGTACCGTTTGTGTTGTATTTGAAATCAGTAATATTAACAACATTTACTGGATATTTGAAACAATTACTGTAAACTAACTGTAAGAGTAAATTGTAGGAAAGAAAAGTATTTATTTACTGTTTCGGTTTATTACGATCATTTATACACTGAATAGATTTTATATTTACATTTTATTATAAGTAAATAGTTGTAAGCTGATAATTCTCAATGGATATCAATTAAAAACTATTCTAATATTTGAATTCATCAGTCAATTACAGCTAAACCACCATGGAAAACCTGGAAGCACTGGACGGCCGTTTTGTCCTATTGTGGGACTCCACAGCAGTGCGTATCAACGATCCCCGCCTTGCGAGATTCGAACCCAGAATCCATCGGTCTCACGCGCGAACGCTTAACCACTAGACCATTGAGCCGGCATCCAACGATGTTAATGTCTAAGTTCAACCAATCCACGATATTCCGCGACCGTTCACCATTGTCTTCAGCAAGTATTGGCCTCATAATAGACACAGTTGAACCCTACTGGTCACGGCTTCTCACTAGAACTGTAGGAAATCTATCTTGAAGCCAGTGACTAGTGAGCAAATGATGATTATTACCAAATTAATACAATCTCCACAAACTCTCATTCTTTCGTGGATTAGTTGAAGTTAGACATTAACATCGTTGGATGCTGGATCAGTGGTCTAGTGGTTAAGCATTCGTGTGCGAGACCGATGGGTTCTGGGTTCGAATCTCGCAAGACGGGATCGTTGATGCGCACTGTTGTGGAGTCCCACAATAGGACAAAACAGCCGTTCATTGCTTCCAGGTTTTCTATAGTGGTCTAGCTTCAATTGACTTATGATCTTAACTATTAAAAAAATTATTTGTTTAATGTGTTTATTTTGTAAAACATTCATTAGAATTAACTGATTCTAAATAAACTTGTTTTCATTAGTTGTTCATATGACTGATGATCGAGACAAAGAAAAAATTGAACAAAGCACAAATTTTAAAATGAAATTAGTATCGTTATACAAACAACAAACAGTTGTACATTATTAAGCACAATCACATCCATACATACACAAATAGAATACCTAAACCTTCAGTTCAATCAATATTACTTTACACAAACTGAACAAAGCACATATATGATAAAATGTTGACTTGTTTCGATGACTACTATCATCATCGAGATTAATAATTTAACATTCCTACTGTATTTTTGATGTGCTTTTTTAAAGATATATATATATATATCAACAAATTTACAAATGTATTAATAAATAAAACAAACATATTTTCACATTTGAAAAAAACTATTATGATTCGATTGAAATTCAGAATAAAAAAATAAAATGAAATAGTTTGAGTGTTATTATTGTTGTTTAATTCGGTGGAAATGTATATTGTTTAAATGAGGGTATTTCATATATTAAGAATATTTATAAATACAAATAGGTTAAAGGTTTCATTTGGAGATGAAATTCCAAAAAACATACGGGATTAGAGTAAGTTTGGCAATTTCATTATTTTATTTGAACACATAAATACTGGTACAAGAGGGCACCAAATACATATGAGCCACACAGATCTCATTTGATGTGTGAGGGCTGTGATACTGCCCGGGTACCCAAACCGAAGCAGGTGGTTTTCTTAGGGAGCCACACCCGGAGCCTTCGACCTACAGGTCTGATCCACAAGGCAGTGGGGGCATCCTAAGGAGTTGCAGTCCCATGGTAGTCGGTGACCAATGATTGGTTCATACGCCATTTGTTCCCTCAGGGTACTGGAGCCCATGTGCACCATTGTTTTGGAATCAGGGTTTTCCAACTCCCCTAGATGCATTCTCCATATCCACCAACCCGGTTAAAGCGCCAGACATTCGCTTTTCGTCCTCTCAATTTCGTAAACAACACCGCCGCCACGAGAAGGTAGTGAGTAGGACTTCCCTGACAGAGGCTATATGCGCGTGGTCATGTGAGAGCATTTGGAGAGGGAGAGTTGACTCTCCCCATTTTCGGCCGTACCAGGACATTTGGCGGCCATAGCTATATAATATACCCTTGTGGGGCAGGGTAATTTTACATTGGTTTTCAGGAGAACCAGATACTATCCAAACTTTCACGTGACAACCCAAACAGTATAGCTCAATCCCGTTTAACAGGAGAACCAGACACCGTATAGGTTTTAACGCCACAATCTGGATAGTACAGCTCAATCCTGTGGCGCAATCACACAGGTACCAAGCACCCTGGTGGACAATAATTAGTAAAATGAGGTCTGGAAACAGTTAAGATAGATTATGTGATAATTATAGAAGTTGTAAAAGATTTACATAAGATTACTGGAATTAGAAATTGATAAGATGGGTAATAATTGAATAGGATTTGAAGAGTTTACATAAGTTAAGAGAATTAAGTGAATGAAAACCTATGGATGAAGGGATGATATTGGTGGACATGAAATAAAAATTAGCTTAGGGAAGACCTCATAACAATATAAATATTAATAAAATAATCATGATAACAAAAAATGATTTACCAAGGTAGTGATAAGTTTATTATTGTCTCTTTCTGGATACATAAATCAGTTTTCTTTGATACTGAGTCGGCAAATTGGAGAGACGCTGCGTATTTTTGTCTGCTGATAATTTTGAGGGGTTGTGGAATGTCAATGGTATGCCCGGTGTCAATTAAATGCCGAGCTATTGTACTGTTTAGAGCCGTTGTGCCTCTTAGTCTCAAATTCTTTGGAACGTTATTCGAAATATGAACACGTACTCTTCTCCCTGTTCTTCCAGTGCATGTGCTTTGACACATACATTTAAATCAGTATATGCATTTGGAGGTACTGAGAAAGTAGAACCTGTCAATTTTTTTAGCGAGCAGTTCGTTTCGTAGAACGTCAGTTTTGCTGATGGATAAGCAACCTTAATTACGGCATTTATCCTGCGGATAGTTATTCCAGTGATTTCATCTCCTTTGAAAATCAGATATAAGAAGCAGGTTCTCTTTTCTACTGTGTCGTACATAACACACGTTGGTTTTGACATACTTAGTGAATTTCTCTGGATATGCATTTTCACGTAGATAAGCCCTTCTCCCAGGCTTTACTTCGAGCAAAGTTTATGAGGGCGGTCAAAAAGGGCTCGTACAATCCCATTTTTTGTGACTCATACAGAAGCTGTAGTAATTTAGGTGAACTCCACTCCATGTACTTTTGCGATGGATATATCTCTGTAGTGTGCCCTTTGAATTCAATATCTAGGAAATGGGATATACCTCCTACTTCATGTCCCATAGTAAGATCTATATCATTATACTTTTTGTTGAAAAGATTGAATAGGTACATAGAATGCTTAGGATTGCTACAGACAAGATGTGTCACCAACATATCTACAAGTGTGATTCCTTCGATTGCGTGCATCTGTTCCAGATTCCCCATAAATATATCAGCCAGAATTGGACCCAGGAAATTACCCATGGCTACTCCATCAATTTGGCGGTACAACACAGTTTTAGATTGAAATTGTGTATTTTCGGTGCACATGAACAGAAGCTGTTTGAATTCATTGATTGGTAAAGGAGGGAGTTCAGGATATTCCATAGTATTGGCAATTTCTTCCAAAAGAATTCTTGTGAAGATAAATGAGACATTGAACGACACCAATAAATTTATCGGAAGCATTTAGGCCATTAAGGTTTTGTGCAAATTCGGAACCAAATTGTAGGGAGAAAGTTTGCTGATGATTGGTTCCAAACACCTCGTCAGCCAGCGAGTGAGTTTACAGATAGGTGACTTAGTCAATAGACCAAACATTGTCAAATTCTAGCACACGTATAGAGTACATAATATAAAATAACCTGTCAGTTATTTTTTCGAACCGCGGATCTGCAGTTCACCATGAAAAGACTAAGATTTCTAGATAAACGAGTCTGCGGCATGTTTAAACTTAATTGTTCATTTACGAAAAAACGTTCACTTGGCAGTAAGTAGTGAACTCAGTAATTGAGAAGCTAAAACTTTGCATATTATTGCAATCCTTAAGGTTTCTTTCCACATTAAATCATTTCTGCGCGCAAAGTTCAGTCTGCCGACTATAGACATTTTTAACAGTGTAGCTTAGCTTACTTAAAGAAATTGCAATTTTACAGTATATATTTCAGAAATTATTCCATATGTAGTTACAAATAACTAGAAAATTATTTTGATTGGTGGGGGAATCGATTAAATTATGACTATCATAAAAGTCGGATGATGTCTAACAGTGCGATTCACACTGGGCATTTCGACCCACTAAAGACTCATCAACTAGATGTGCCTGCACCCCAAATACTCTCAAACTTTTATGATAAAAGTCAACATTTATTATAGTTTACTCAGTTTTTTCTCTCATACAGATAATAACACTTTCAAAATGAGTATGATAAACAAACACCTAAGTATGTAAGACATCAGCAAGTAAATATATGCATGTATTATCTAGAATTAATAGGCAGAAGAAACACCGAAAAACAAGGCAGAAAAGTCTAGAATATACATGGAATCCTGAAAAAGCCCTGAATTCATAAAAGACAATAATAGTAATGATAAACAATAATATCGATAATGATATGTTGATTACATTCGTTTCAGTAACAAAAAGAATTCTAAGAAAAACCTAACAGGCTGTAAAAAAAAACTAGCACATAAGAATATATGTATCTATATACGTACAGTTGAAGTAATAATATATGGTGCAATATGACATACTGAAAGAAAAAGACAAAATATATTCACAGCTATTTCGAAACTGATATGACTTGTGCTGTTATTTTTTCTTGCTGTAAGTAAAAAAAGTCCAATTAAATAGGAATTGTTGATTGAAGTCGATAATATGTTCGACGATGTTGACGGCGACTTGAATTAACGACAATCCATATTGACATTAACATGGCCAGTAGATCGGATGTGATAAGCATAGCAAATACGACAGACCAACCATATGGAACTAGTAAACCAGTCAGAAGTGGACCTAACGCAGCACCTGTAATGCATAAATAAACATCACAAATAAAGTTGTCCCTTATCGATAAAAAATATTTTTAAGAAAATCAATAATTGGATCCCGATTTTGTCTTTGGTACACTTTAACCTGGTGCATCACTAAACAAAATCGATAGTGATTGGACAGTTCTGTAAATAAAAACATAACAAAGATAATACCATACATTGGACAGAATCATTCATCAAAGGAAATCGTGAGTTTTTAAAGGGAAATATACATTAACCGTTGGATATTTCAAGAAAGAAACTGCACAAATATTTGTATAGAATGCATTATTTCACATAGTAACATTAAAACAATGTCTATTGTACTGCAGAAAGTCACATAGATACAAGAAGGCACCAAATACATATGAGCCACACAGATCTCATTTGATGTGTGAAGGCTGTGATACTGCCCGGGTACCCAAACCGAAGCAGGTGGTTTTCTTAGGGAGCCACACCCGGAGCCTTCGACCTACAGGTCTGATCCACAAGGCAGTGGGGGCATCCTAAGGAGTTGCAGTCCCATGGTAGTCGGTGACCAATGATTGGTTCATACGCCATTTGTTCCCTCAGGGTACTGGAGCCCATGTGCACCATTGTTTTGGAATCAGGGTTTTCCAACTCCCCTAGATGCATTCTCCATATCCACCAACCCGGTTAAAGCGCCAGACATTCGCTTTTCGTCCTCTCAATTTCGTAAACAACACCGCCGCCACGAGAAGGTAGTGAGTAGGACTTCCCTGACAGAGGCTATATGCGCGTGGTCATGTGAGAGCATTTGGAGAGGGAGAGTTGACTCTCCCCATTTTCGGCCGCACCAGGGTATTTGGGGACAAGACTGTGTAGTAGTAAATGATAATTAAGATGAAACATTGAAATTTTAAATATTTTGGAACTCCCAACTAATTTTTTATTAATTCTCATATTTTAATAACTATATTTTCGATACCAAAAATTGAAAAAACATACTACAATTTACAAAGTATTGATGCGTAATTCTCAGTAATCGTTTTTTATGTTACGACGACATTCCTTAAAACAAACTTCTCTTAGTATCTATGGAATAAATGTTCCGTGTACACTTCTTTAGTTTGAGAACTTAAAAATTTACCCGCGATGTCATATAATGACGAGCTAAACAAAAGTATTTGAAAAAGTGATAGAAACAGCTTCTTAAGCTTCAAGAGAATCAAATCAGTGTGTTGATATTACCAACTGATTGATTGATTTGCAAAATATGATGTGACAACTTGGTTGGTTGAAGAAATATTGGAACGATCAAGTGGGGGAATTAGGAACTTGCTCACAGGATGCATACCAGAACCATAGACCAAATTGTGTTTAAAAAAAAACAGAAATATTAGCCAATAAATTGAGTATATGATTAAATAATAAACAGTTTAAACTATTCACATTAATTTAAAAGTATCCAATAAACTATGAAATATTTAATTCGATAAAATGATTTATAAAGGATTTATACACTGAGGTGCAACAGAAGCAATGGCGTTGATCAATATATGAAGTGTCTGGTACTTTCAACTTACCCAATGATCCCATTCCATCAATAATAGATGTAATTGTAGCCAAAGCACGAGTTCGTCCTAGCAAGGCCGACTGAGTACCTAAGTCGGCAGATACAGCAGTTGTAACTAATGCATAAGGTCCGTTGATTGCAGAACCGCAACATGTAAGTAAAACTATAAACAAGATACCAAGAGTACGCTATCAGATAGAAAGACAAACAAACACAACGTAAGATTTGTGATAATTGTTTACCAAATCAAGTTACCTTTAACCACGGACAGTAAAATAAAAAGAAAGATTCATTAAGACGAGTGGTGCTATCAAAATAAGATGAAGAATTATACGCAAGAGAAGAGGTTAATCTCCCAAGGCAGTTGATTTTTCAAAGACATTTAGTCATTTCAGTCTTAATGTGAAGTAGTCCAAAGCAACAGAGGTCAACCACCTCACTAGAACTGAAGCATTTGCTTAGGAAAATGAAGTCTTTAACCGCTTTGCTTCAGATTGATATACTGGTGTTGGATGAAAAAAGTTGACCAGGACATTTTATCAAAATTACCAATGATTTAAAAGAAACTGTGCTACACTACCACATAAAATTTCAGAATATTTGGAGAGTCCAGAAAATGGTTGGCTTGATAGGGATGGAGGTGCAAAGTGTAGTTAGTTTACCATAAATATGAGGCTGATAAGTACCCCTACAAGAAGTGTGTTATTCATGTTTTTAAGAGAAAGTTGACCCTATCTGCATGAAAAGAAACTGGTAGTATTAAGTAGTGCTAATTGTTATAGCTTATGCTCCTGTCAATATATATAACGTAATGATAACGCCAATTGGAGAACAGCGGCTTATCGACCGGACCAATGACGCATTAACCCGCAAGAGCAGTCTAAAGTCCCTATCGGTCCTTCTTCATGCCTATCCATGCCTTTTGAGTCCAGAACACCAATCTCAGCCTCTGCGATATGAATCATTTATTTCAAGCATACTGGGTTTATATACTAACCAAACAGACCACATCGTACCATAAAATAGAAAATGACATTTGTACAAGATCTAGCCAAAAATGGCTGTGAATGTGGGAGACTGTAATTAACAGACTGGGCAGATATCAATAACGGTATATCGTATAATAAAACTCGATGGGTCAAAATAAAGCTCATAATAGGAGGAACATGAATATGCATAGTTTAGCTGCTTAACAATTATACAGTGAAAATATAATTATCGGATTGGTCCATAAATAGTTCGCAAGAGTTACCATTCATAATTCTCGCCGGGATATAACATTAATCACATGAGTAGACTTCTGATTAATCCATTTACGTAGACATATGCATGACCTATTACTTATTGCAATTGAGGTTAATTAAATTTTTTTAAGAACTAAACGATAGTGGGTTGACTTACTTAACGACATCAGCGAGTTCGCAGAAGTCATAGAACGATAAGCTAATAGCTGTAATGACAAAACGCGAAACTATAGGTCAGAAAATTTCAGTACATAATATAAAGATATGAAAATTCTGATTCAGTCAGTCATTCAGTCAGCTACAACGTAGGACCAGGCACATACATGCATCGGTCCAAGTTGCCATATCTCATTAACACAACAAGATGAACACCAGATTCATAGAAGTAGTTAATTCAGAGGTGGTAATATATAAAAGAAAGATTCCATATAGGGACATAGTACAGGAAGAAAGATTTAGTACGTAGAAAGAAAGATATGAAGCGATTTTAATCTCATAGTTTAAAGGAAGACAAAAAGTGTATACACCTACGCCATTGTGATCGATTCTGAGTCATGTCACCAAGAGTCTCCAACCATTGGTTACGATAGTCACGCGGACCCCAACTAAGTAGTCTGCATCTACCAACATGGCTCAGACTAGAAGTTAGTGACTTCAAGCACTGATGCCACGTTTTGGTTTGGCCGCCCTTAACTTTCTTCCAACCATCCCCAACACCGGTTAGCATTGCACGTCGTGGTAATCGGTGTTCAGGCATACGTAACACGTGGCCCAACCATCTCAGTCGATGAAGATTCACGACCTCATCAACTGATTTACCATCATTCCCTAATACCCTGCGTCTAACCTCACTATTACTTACCCGGTGATCCCAGCAGACGCCAGCAATATTTCTAAGGCATCTGTGGTCAAATACTAGTAGCTTACGAGTGTCTTCTACTCTTAAAGGCCATGTTTCGCTGCCGTAAATTAAAACAGAACGGACTGCCGCGCAGTATACTCGTCCTTTTATTGATAGACGGATATCTCGCCTTCGCCAAAGGTGACGTAAGTTGGCAAAAGCCAAACGAGCTTTTCGAATCCGTGCTGAGATTTCGTCAGACACCAACCCATTAGGGCTGATCAGACTTCCAAGATAAGTGAAGTTGTCAACGCGTTCGACTACTTCACTCCCTATCCTTAGTTCAGGTGTTGACGCAGACCAGTCCTGAAGCAACAACTTGCATTTAGAGGGAGAGAAGCGCATTCCAAACATTCTGGCATTGTTGCTTAGTGCTACCAGAAGACTCTGCATTTTGTCAGCGTCTTCACCAAACAGGACTATGTCATCTGCGTATTCTAAGTCGATAAGTGGACCTCCTGGAAGGAGATCAATACCCGAGAATTCAGTCGACGAGAATGTTATTTCCATCAATAGGTCTATGATGAAGTTAAACAAAAATGGAGAAAGTGGACAGCCTTGACGGACACCACTTGAGGTTGCAAAAACAGATGACAGTTCGCCATAAGCTCTGACTCGACTAGTAGTGTTCGAGTAAAGAGCCTTCACAAGGTTTATGTACTTCTGAGGTACGCCTTTCAATGACAGACACTGCCACAGAATCTCGCGGTCTACAGAGTCAAATGCTGCTTTTAAGTCAAGAAAGACCACCATTGTCGGACGCCGATAAGTATGCCTGTGTTCTAGAACCTGACGAATGGTGAATATGTGGTCGATGCAGCCACGACCAGGTCTGAAGCCAGCTTGGTTCTCTCGTGTTTGCAGTTCACGAGTCTTAGTTAGGCGTCTGATAATTATCGAGGCTAGTATTTTAGATACTATATTAGTTAAACTAATCCCTCTGTGGTTGTCACAGGATGATTTTGACCCTTTCTTATATATTGGGACGATAAGTGATTGCGACCAGTCAGATGGAATAACGTCTAACTCCCAGATCTTAGCTAAAATATTAGTCAACCTAATCGCTAAAATTGGACCACCATCCTTAAAGACTTTTGGAGCCAATCCATCTGGACCAGCTGCCCTTCCTCGTTTCAGATTAACTATAGCCTTTTGAACTTCAGCTAGAGTTGGGGGACCTACTTCAATGTTCCATTCACACTGTCTGGGAATGGAGGGTAGTTGTAGAGTAGCTGAAGGCCAGTTGAACTGTTCCTTAAAATGTTCCACCTATCGTTCTAAACGTCTGGACTGGGAGCAGATAAGTGTCGTCTTTTTCCGAAATAGTCTGACTTACACTTGACTTATTAATTCCAGTTTCTTTCATTAGTCTGTAAAGCTTTCTTGTGTTCCCTATAGTCGCCGCCTTTTCCATCTCTTGCTTTCGTTGCCCACCACTGATCACAGTCGTTTCTTAGACTTTTGCTTAACCTAAATCTAATTTGTTTTCGCTCTTCATCGTGTTCAGAGGCTGATGGGATGAGTTTACGAGGTCCATCAACGCAATAGACTTAGAAGAAATCCATTGGTGTTTTGTAACACGTTGGTTTAAATCACTAACAGATGTCACTGCTATTTCCACAGCTGATTGTATATTTTTACAAGCAACATCTGGCCCAGTCTCGTTTTCAGAACTACCTAAGTGTGACCTCAGTTGTTCCTGGAACACACTTTTGGTTTTCTCGTCACTCAATTCAGTTCTAATGGGTCTTTTTAATGTGGCCCGTATAAGGGCATGGTTGGAGTCCAAGCAGGTACTCCAGAATGAGCGGCAATCTTCTATCGACCCTCTCTAACGATGACTGATGGCAATATGGTCTATTTGAGTCCATCGTTGGTTTGGTGTAGGGGGTCACCATTTTAGACGATGTCTCTCTTTATGCTTAAAATTTGTCTGGGTACAGTTGCAACAGACGACTACCATTATCTGTTCGTTGTGCCGGTATACTAAAATACCCACCTAAATGCCTTTCTGTTTGGTTTAAACTACCTATCTGGGCATTAAAGTCACCTGCTACGAGTACTATGTCTGAACGTTTAGCTTTCTGAAGTTCAGAGAGCTTTCTGTAAAATTCATCTTTCATTTCATCTGAGCTGCAGTCAGTGGGAGCGTAGGCAGAAACGACAAAAAGGCAACGACGTGTGTCTCTATCCTCCCGAGTTCTTACGTAGCCGTTTAGCCGAACAGCACATAAACAACTGTTGACGGGGATCCACTCTAACAGTGCTTGTTCCGCCCTCATGCTTAGTGCTATGCCCACACCTGCCAGTCCACGAGAACTGGCCTTCGGGTCACCAGATACACAGAGGGTGTATCTCGTTGGCTCTCCGTTTTGCCGAGGTGAGGTCAAGTGAATGACCACACTGGGATCCTGTATGCGTGTTTCGGAGACACAGCATACATCAATGGTACGAGATTCTAGGGTTCTAGTCAAGGAAGCCTGCTGACAGATTTGGTAATCAACTAACCTATATATTTTACTTGAACAAACAGTTTAAAAATAAATTCATATAATGTAAATACACAGATGACAAGAAATAATGAGGTTAACTATAAATAGATTATAAATGCATTCTTCAGATTAAAGAAATAATACATTAGGTATGCGTTTAGACAACTCTTCTAGAAAAGTAAGATCGTTAACAATTTAAACTTACCAAAGGTGCCGCACAAGCTAGCATAACAAGACAAGCAAGTGCACGTTTTTTTATTGTTTTTTCATCTTCGTTGAGATTTTGTCCATTTGACTAGAACAAACAAAAATACAGAACACCCATCAACATAAATATCAATCGATCAAAACTTTATACACGGAACAATATACTCGGGGATAACCAACTATAACTCCGAGTTTTAATTCATGTATATCCCTTTATTTATTTAAACACACAAACATTGGTACAAGGAGGTACCACGTATATATGCACCACACTTCGTTATTCGATTTGAAGACTGGAATACTGCACGGGCACCCAAATGGAAGCAGGTAGTTTTCTCAGGGCACCACACCCGAGCCTTTGATCTAGAGGTCTAATCCATAAGGCAGTGGAGCAACTTTGGGAGATGCAGTCCCACGGTAGCCGATGACGAATAATAGATTCGTATGCCATTTGTTACCTCAGGATTCTGGAGCCCATGAGCACTGTACCAAACCAATGAAGTGTCAATCAGTACGAGCAGCCTATGATCACATTCGAGTTCTTACTGGTACTCTGAGATAGTAGCTTCTCGCCTAACCCTACCGGTTTAGCTCAGAACACCGATATCAGCCTCTACCGTACGAATCATTTATTCCAGACATACGCAGTTTATATCCAAGCAAATCAGGCTACATCACACTATAAAGTAGAAAATAACAATCATACAACATCACAAGGGGCAATCACTAAGTAAATAAATAAATAAATAAAGTAAGTAAGTAAGTAAGTAAGTAAGTAAGTAAGTAAGTAAGTAAGTAAGTAAGTAAGTAAGTAAGTAAGTAAAGTAAGTAAGTAAGTAAGTAAGTAAGTAAGTAAGTAAGTAAGTAAGTAAGTAAGTAAGTAAGTAAGTAAGTAAGTAAGTAAGTAAGTAAGTAAGTAAGTAAGTAAGTAAGTAAGTAAGTAAGTAAGTAAGTAAGTAAGTAAGTAAGTAAGTAAGTAAGTAAGTAAGTAAGTAAGTAAGTAAGTAAGTAAGTAAGTAAGTAAGTAAGTAAGTAAGTAAGTAAGTAAGTAAGTAAGTAAGTAAGTAAGTAAGTAAGTAAGTAAGTAAGTAAGTAAGTAAGTAAGTAAGTAAGTAAGTAAGTAAGTAAGTAAGTAAGTAAGTAAGTAAGTAAGTAAGTAAGTAAGTAAGTAAGTAAGTAAGTAAGTAAGTAAGTAAGTAAGTAAGTAAGTAAGTAAGTAAGTAAGTAAGTAAGTAAGTAAGTAAGTAAGTAAGTAAGTAAGTAAGTAAGTAAGTAAGTAAGTAAGTAAGTAAGTAAGTAAGTAAGTAAGTAAGTAAGTAAGTAAGTAAGTAAGTAAGTAAGTAAGTAAGTAAGTAAGTAAGTAAGTAAGTAAGTAAGTAAGTAAGTAAGTAAGTAAGTAAGTAAGTAAGTAAGTAAGTAAGTAAGTAAGTAAGTAAGTAAGTAAGTAAGTAAGTAAGTAAGTAAGTAAGTAAGTAAGTAAGTAAGTAAGTAAGTAAGTAAGTAAGTAAGTAAGTAAGTAAGTAAGTAAGTAAGTAAGTAAGTAAGTAAGTAAGTAAGTAAGTAAGTAAGTAAGTAAGTAAGTAAGTAAGTAAGTAAGTAAGTAAGTAAGTAAGTAAGTAAGTAAGTAAGTAAGTAAGTAAGTAAGTAAGTAAGTAAGTAAGTAAGTAAGTAAGTAAGTAAGTAAGTAAGTAAGTAAGTAAGTAAGTAAGTAAGTAAGTAAGTAAGTAAGTAAGTAAGTAAGTAAGTAAGTAAGTAAGTAAGTAAGTAAGTAAGTAAGTAAGTAAGTAAGTAAGTAAGTAAGTAAGTAAGTAAGTAAGTAAGTAAGTAAGTAAGTAAGTAAGTAAGTAAGTAAGTAAGTAAGTAAGTAAGTAAGTAAGTAAGTAAGTAAGTAAGTAAGTAAGTAAGTAAGTAAGTAAGTAAGTAAGTAAGTAAGTAAGTAAGTAAGTAAGTAAGTAAGTAAGTAAGTAAGTAAGTAAGTAAGTAAGTAAGTAAGTAAGTAAGTAAGTAAGTAAGTAAGTAAGTAAGTAAGTAAGTAAGTAAGTAAGTAAGTAAGTAAGTAAGTAAGTAAGTAAGTAAGTAAGTAAGTAAGTAAGTAAGTAAGTAAGTAAGTAAGTAAGTAAGTAAGTAAGTAAGTAAGTAAGTAAGTAAGTAAGTAAGTAAGTAAGTAAGTAAGTAAGTAAGTAAGTAAGTAAGTAAGTAAGTAAGTAAGTAAGTAAGTAAGTAAGTAAGTAAGTAAGTAAGTAAGTAAGTAAGTAAGTAAGTAAGTAAGTAAGTAAGTAAGTAAGTAAGTAAGTAAGTAAGTAAGTAAGTAAGTAAGTAAGTAAGTAAGTAAGTAAGTAAGTAAGTAAGTAAGTAAGTAAGTAAGTAAGTAAGTAAGTAAGTAAGTAAGTAAGTAAGTAAGTAAGTAAGTAAGTAAGTAAGTAAGTAAGTAAGTAAGTAAGTAAGTAAGTAAGTAAGTAAGTAAGTAAGTAAGTAAGTAAGTAAGTAAGTAAGTAAGTAAGTAAGTAAGTAAGTAAGTAAGTAAGTAAGTAAGTAAGTAAGTAAGTAAGTAAGTAAGTAAGTAAGTAAGTAAGTAAGTAAGTAAGTAAGTAAGTAAGTAAGTAAGTAAGTAAAGGCCAATAGGTCAAATGGATGATTATAATAAAAGGAATATGAATATGCATATAATATAGTTACAAAATGGTTATGCAATAAGATATATGTAGTAACAGTCCATAAATAGATCCCAGTAGTTACCATTCACTTATTCTTCGTTGGGATATAAGTTACTACATGACATAATCCTTTACTTGAAGCGAACATCATTGATAAAAAAACAAATCAGGAATGACCAACAAAACTCGTATTCCAAGCTACCAGTTAGCAAGCAAACGTTAGTTCAACGGTTCCTTTAAGTGTTTAGTTCATTATTTTCAATGTCTGGTTTGAGAATAGATCATAGATTTACTTCTCTTCGTAACAGCGTAATTCACTGTCTATATTTTTTGATCATAGCGTATTCAGTAAATCCAAACAACTTTCTAACGTTACCCAACCAGCATCATTACTGTTTTGTCTGTTGTTTTCATTATCTGTTACTCTTCACTATAAAAGCTTTTGTTCTGTATTTGTCTCCACTCTATCGTTTTTGGAGTTTGACAGAGAGATTTACTAAGGATAATACAATAAACATACTTGAATGGAGTCCAATGTCTGAAAAAACTCATATAAAAGTTAATAATTAATTTCAACATAATATGTAGGTTTTTATTTCTAATCGTCGAATGGACAGAAATAAAACTTACCTGACTATCACTAAACCATCCTATCAATACACCACCGATTATGCCACCAACATCGAACAACACAGAAAGTTTAGCAGCCTGTTCAGCTGACACATGTTCAACAATGGTTAAGTAGTTTGGTAACCAATAAAGAAATGTATATGAGACAAGTTTCGTAAAGAATAATAAGAGTGAGTAGGTAAACACACTCTGCAAAATAAACAGAAAAACAGGAATGATAAGGAGAAAATTTCATAGAATAATTAACGAATATATATATTAATGAATTACTGTATATAAAGACTTTGTGGAGATAGTTGAATTTTTGTGGAGTTTCGTTTTCTGGATGATTTAATTATGGAGCTTTAATTGTTCTTCTTAATAAAATCATCAGCACGAACTTCAAATAGAAGTGAAGTATTCGAATTTCTCCACATATGACTCACAACTTGTTCCGTCAACCTCGATCTTTATTGGTCATTGTTGACCTTTAACCCGTCGCGAACTGTCTCTTTATTGTGATTTTACAGCCTTCGATCTGATTCTTGGTCCTAAGTTTGTCAGAAGAGCAATGAACGCTCCACAATCAAACAAAACTTCACTAACATCCAGCTCAGCTACAAATGTTCTACGCAAGATAAATGAATTTTATAATGAGTAGAAATTATCTTGTATGGTATCCGAGTCTGTTACTGATATACAAGCTTCCCATACGCGAGTTCATCTAGTTACTTGAATAAAAACAACCAAGACTGAGTAGGAAGCCTTTGTTGGCTAACCAAATAGACAATATATGTACATTCACAAATAAATATACATCTTTATCCGTCAGAAAATGAAGCCATATTTCAACCTATAGAAAGGGACCTTTATCATTTATCACTCATCAGTCGGCCTGTATGATTTCTTACCCAGTGACTCCTGGTTTTTCAGAAATTAAACCTTCACTGTGAAAACAACTAAAGCATATGCTAGGAAATAATAAGGAAAACGTGTCGCATCAATAGATTAGACAAAATAACGAGATTCGCAAATATACGTCTTTAGAGTCGTATAGCCGGATTAAAAATACATTAAAACAAACTTACTGGTAATAGAAGAGCTTCAATGAAATTAATTGGTCGAGTGGCCTCGATATCCGATATTAAAGGCTTCAAATCATCTTTGTCTGACCTTACGCGGTCGATGTTTCCCTGTAGAGAAATAGGACAACAATAACACTATTAGATAGATACAAAGTAGCGCACAAAAATGGTTAGCTATTACTTCATAAATCCAAGTGACGTTCAAATTTGCCAACATAATTTGTATTCAGAAATGTAGTTGGTTTGGTTTCGTTTTAGTGATAAGGTTAAGTAACTGGAGTTCCAATCCAATCGGTTTGAATCAAGAAGCTTATTTATAAGTCCAAAAACAACAGAGTCGCTCTCATGTAACGATTAACAATTTACTTTATTTCAGTCCTGATTCATTTACAAGTTTTCTTATTCATCCAACTGAACTGATGTATGACATAAATCAATTTGAAGGCAGAGTTCAATAAACTTTTTGAAGCCTTTTATTCTGACTCCAAAAAGATCGTATGTTATCGAAATATACATCCCCGCTGTCCTCGTACATAATTATCGACTTAATTCACGTTAGAGAATAACAGAATAAGTAAGGTACGAGGATGAATTTTGAATACGTGTATTTCGTACACTTGTTGATCAGAATAGACATTCAGAATGAAAAGCGAAGCAGAGAAGACGAAGGAACCAACTCGGTTTGTTGAAGCGTGACTCGATATTTCAAGTCAGACAAAAATAAGCTACAGACACGTGGTTATTAGGGCTAAGCAATCAAACGCTCATATAAGAACAGTCAAGGTTAGTAAGCAATTAACAAAGTCAAAATGTGACTCCAAAAAATGAATAAACTGGTCTGTCCGGAAGCTAGAATAACCCCTGTAGGCTTGGCATAGTGACAGACTCTACAAGTTATTGTCTTACACACATTTGATCGAAATAATTTCCGCTCACGAGTTAAATTGAAGTTACGCGAACTATTTGGACAGTCGCTATCATCGTGAAGTAATTAACAGATCTCTCTTTTGTATCATAACAACAGGGTAATGTAATGGTCTGTATTATGTAAAATTAGTAGAAGTACTACCTACAATTGTTTTTTTTTGTTTTATCGACTGATAAACTTAATGTTGTAGTGCCTTTCATGCAATTTTTCAGAATCCCTAGATTAAGCAATAGTAATACCATTCATGAAACTTGGTTGGGATAGTAGGAGTCCGGGTGGTAACACTGTCCACTATACAAACCGAGCAGTTCAAAATCGAGGGAATAAATCTGTTGTATGTAAATGAGTTACCCGTACATGAACGTTAATTATATCACAGTAACTTCCACTGTCTCTATTCAGCTAAAGTAATGAAAAAATAGATGAAGATTCTTTGTTATGATCATATATAATTCAACACGAAGAAGCTAGAGCAAACGGAGCTACAAAAGAAAACATAAATTGATCCAATCTTATGAACTCAGAGTTAATTTAGACTTGTAATCGGTATGGAAAATCGTAAAAGTAATCGATGCTCTAAGTGGAAGAGTGCTTCATGAGTACAGCACATGGAAAATAACCCACAGAGGTGGAATTGGTTTTTTACATGCCACATAAAATTTTGCTACTCATTAACCATGTTCAAATAAAGTATTTTGTTGTGAACCCGAAAACCACCGCATTAAAGAATTTCTACTTTTAAGAATGATTATATTAATTGATAAATAAACTACAAAAGCTTATAAAGTGGAGAGTGAAGCATTTACTGACTAGCCTATATTACTTATATCCTCCAAGAAACAGACAGTAATTAAAACTACTGACTGATGACAAGTAACTAACAGACATCACACTGGTATTATCAATAAAATCAGTGGACCGAAATAAACGACTGGCATATATGACATAAATGCGTCTTTGAATAGTCAGCTTTATGATGAGTTGGCAATTGTGTATACGACTCATTTAAGCTGTGATAAATAGTCAATTCATATAGGATGGTTTATACTTTGTTTCTACAAGGATTATTTATCAAATTACGTTTAGTAAAAGCTTACGGTTGCATTCGAACAGCGCGATTGGAAAAAATAAGGACATTCATAACAGTATTCGGAAGTCAACACGGATCCCAAGTTCACGTAGTGAATGTAATAATGAACGATGCATTCTGAAGACTACTTGTTAATATATACATACAATCAAAGCTTTTGTCTGTATAACATTTTATTCCTACTGATGCCAGTGTTTATTTCTAAAACGAATTAACTTTCGCAAGTTACTTCACAATAAGCTGTAAAAAACTATGAACGAATAGATAATTACCCCATATATGCTTCCTGACATTGGAATTTGAGTACCTGTTTTTTCGGAACTAGCCGAGTTATAGACCATGTTAGGATGCTCTATAACTGTCAGGTAGACAACCAACGCCCCAACCATCATGATAAGACCGGGGAGATAAAAAGAAGCCCCCCAGTTTGCTTCAACATAGATTCCGGCAATGACGGAACCTATGATATTTCCTAAACTTGTATGAGAATTCCAAAGACCCATAATAAGTCCCCGTCTATACGAAAACAGGAAAAACACAAATGTGTACGTTAATAAAAAGGAAACAAAAGCTTGTCTATAACAAACTACATTCCACAAACTCAGTTTACTGAGTTTAAATTGTTACATAATAAATTGAACTTACCATGTGCTCACTAGTGACTGGCTTCAAGATGGATTTTCTGGAGTTCTAGTGAGAAGCCGTGACCAGCGGAGTTCAACCGTGTCTGTTGTGAGACCTTTAATCACTGAAGACAATAATGGACGGTCGCGCAATATCGTGGATTGGTTGAACTTAGACATTAACACCGTTGGATGCCGGCTCAGTGGTCTAAAGATTAAGCGTCCGCTCGCGAGACCGAAGTTCATGGGTTCGAGTTCCTTAGTGCGGGGTCATTGATGCGCTGCTGAGGAGTGGTCTAACATTGATCCACTCATGATATCAATCTAAATTGAAGTTACTTTGCAAGAAAGTGAACTTGACTTTTGTAGGATTTAAACGGAGTTTACAATCAGGAGGGTATATTAATCACTAATTGCACTACAAACGATTTTTTTAATGTTTTAATTGGAAATAAAAATACAATGAATCGGCTGATTGAATGTGATGTAACTTTTGTTTCAAAAGGGATCACTATTCCACTCTCACCTATTAGTAGTGATAAGGACCGAACCATTTGTTATCGACAGAGGAAATTCTCTGCTAGTAACCATACGCAAATGAACTTGTGGTAAATGTAAACATTATATATATATATATATATATATATATATATATATATATATATATATATATATATATAATCAGTATTAAACGTGAAACTTTGTTGGAAACCTGCTTTTGCCCCACCAATTTCCCACCAGAGTAACAACAGCCGGCCATCCAGAAGCTTGAACAAAACCAGAAAACACCTGGAAGTGACAATTAAACATTTTTTACCTGTATAAAGACGAAGTACGAGTAATAGTGAATTTCAAAATATGAAGCCAGTCCAAATGCAAAAGTTGAAACTCCACTAAGAAACATTCCGATAGATAAGAAGTATCTTAAATTGACTCTTTCTGCAAGAAAGCCACTATAAAGTAGTTTAATATCTTCTAGACTCACCTTAGAATCATTGAAACTGCATAAACAAACAAATAAATATATTCAAGGCCACCCAGTAACTGACTCCAATTGTCAGAATCTAAATACAGCCGTCAACCATACGACAAAAAACTACCAAACGGTTTCCAGCCGTCAGAAGTGAAACCGACAGTTCTTAGTTGTCCATTTACGCCGGAACGATGAAGAACCGTCTTAACAATGCTAAGGGGTTTTCGTGAGGCATGATAAAGTGTGTAGCAAAAGTAAGTAAGCAGGAGAATATATATTGCCAGTCTGTCGGTAATATTGAACAAACAAAGAATACGATACCTTCGGAAGTCATTTCGTAATACCGACGTGTGGAGAAGTCTATAACAAGGAGGTAAAGATCGTTCCATCAAAACCAACTAAAAAGCGCCGGACCGCTTGAATAGTCTATACGTCAGAAAATTTTCTTATACCTTAAGGTGTTGTTAGCGAATACACAGAGTGTAAGCTGACAATTAACTCAGGAATCTAAAGGACCGAAAACAAACCGAAAACTCGTTAAGCATATACAATACATTTACATGTGACAATACTTTACATTGTTATAGAAACGTATTCGGGTTTACATGTTTTTACTGAAACAAATCGCCTATTTGACTCTAATTTCTGAAATTTATTTTCATTTGTGGTATTGGATTCGTCTAAGTAATAGCGGTATATTTTACCAGAATTGTAATACCAAATAAACAAGTGTTACATTATTTTTCAGAGATAGGGTTCTCTGTACAACTGACTTTTTACTTATCTTCGTGAGGTTAACTGGATGTTGAGGGCTTTATATTGGATTTGGAGAACAGGTCACATTGAGAAGACAGGGCAATTGACAAAACGGTACTAGATTTATATGATTGGAAATTATATTTTGAAGTGACAACAGCTCTGACAATATAAATAAACGTTTATTGAAATGGATCTACGTCACACCTTTTCCGGTGGCAAGTACCTTTTATAATAATAGACTTATATGATTTTGAAGCAAGGATTTGTTGTTTAGGAGGCTGATTTCGGCGAGACCAAGCTCTTAAACTTGGGGAATAGAAATAAAATGTTATTGAAAGGGATGTATGACAATTTACAAAAGCGAAAAGAATCCAACTTTATTGGATGTAAATACTATCTGCATTATATTGCATTAGTCCGCAAATATAATCTTTGGTAGATCTTAAAACAAGGACTTGAGCTTCAGATAGTTTTAAGTTGAAATGAAGTCCATTAACTAAAATGTAATGAGATTTTTGGTGGGACCACAATTTATGGAAGACCTTTGAGAAACGCTAAAATGACTTTGGAATGTCCAACTACTTGGTTTAAATGAGGGTTATAGATAAGTTTGAGGAGTTAGGATTAAGATTTAAAGTTGACCGCTTAAGTTAGGGATTAGATCTAATGTTTTCACCACGAACCAATATAGGCTATAATGCCAAAATGGTTCTTAACAAAATGAGTGACTGAATTTCGCGTCAAATTCAAATACCTGATATTTAATTAGTTCGTTCATAAATAAGAGATTACCCAAATTTTTTCCTAGGTTATGATATTCCAAACACATAAACAATGCTGGAAAACGCTCTACAGTCATCAATTCTTAGTTTAAAAACTATACTGCAGCTAAGGATGCATATAAATACAAAATTATCATACGAGAAATGGCTATTTCAGAGCTTTCAGTATTTTTTGAGAAGCTATTTTTACACATTTAAATTGACAGGAAATGATGCGTTCTGCCACGATCGCTTTAGCAAGGACTTTTTAGTATTAGGAATAAGGGTATTCCCAAAGGCCTTATTGAAGTGTCTTTATGAGGGATAACTAATAAAACTTGACTCTAATGGAAGAACATGGTTAAAAGATGCTGTAGTCATAAGACATTTTAAGGCTTGACTTGCAATAGGTCATGGAAATTTTTACACAAGCAAGGCGGGTGAGGCTAGAATTTATGGACGAACTTTCAGCGAAGTTAAAGTAACCTTGAGAGGGTCCACTTAATAACTAGGACCAAATGAGGATTATAAATCAGTGTGACGAATTAGAATTAGGATTAACGGTTGGTGGTGATGGTGATGAACTGTCCATTTATGGAAAATATTCTTATGGTTAGTGTTAAGAATTATATTCAGGGTTTTCACACGGACTGACAGCTATAATGTCAAAACTCTATTTAGCCAAATAAATGGGTGAGTTTTGCGCCGAAATTCGAGACCTGTTATCTTATATCTGATTGGTGCGTTCATAAACTAGGCTTGCCGCAAGATAAGACATTACCACCCAAATCATAATTGAAGATGCGAAATGCCAGTATGAGGTCACCTCGCGTCCTATGATACGACAAGGGGAAAAGGTTTGGGCGCTCATTGTAAGGGAGTTTAGAAAGACCCTATACTGGATCTGTATGGGCATACTCTTCCTAGGATTAACTGCTAAGCCCCAACTTCGAGCCCATCCAACTAATTCATCTGAGTCAGCTTGGAGATCAAAATGATCAACCTCACTTCTTATTGTTCTCCAGATTCTTACTTCATCCGCAAACAATAATGTCGACGACCTAAGCAACAGCGGTAATTTATTAATGTAGAGAAGGAAAAGTGGAGGGCCTAAGATATTGCCTTGGGTACACCACTTTTGACCGGCTTCCAATCGGACAGCGTTCCATTGACCCTCACTCTCTTCGGTCGCATAAGAAGTTTCCTACCCATTTCTGTACAGCACCTGTTATTCCGAAGCCTAAGAGCTCCCGAATAAGACGTAAGTGTGAAACCTTGTCAAATGCTTTGCTAAAATCTATGAATAACAAATCAACAGACAGACCGTTATCTAGGGCTGTTATCCAATCCTCTCTCAGGAAGAAACACCTAACAAGAAAAGCAGGAGACTTTCTCACACCAAATAAATCTGATAAAATGGGCGTAAATAATAATTGACAGTGCAGTATTAATTGTTACGCAGAGCAGAATAATAATTGTTTTGATCATAACACATCTGCCCAGTCTATATGAAAAGAACGGGAGAAAAGTTAATATAGCATTCAATGCAGACATTTTGAATCTAAGCAACCATACACTCATTTGTGAGTAAAGTGTCAGGTCGAGTATTTCATTATTAAATGCATCAGTTTTTGTTAATTAACTAGATTCGAATGATGCAACGTCACAGTGAACATACAAAATGCACTAAAACTTATTAATGAAACTAAGGTATGGCAACTATCAATAGAAAATTCGTGATATCTAGACAGTCTTGTTATAAAAAGTAATTGATGTAAACAGCCTCACGAGACTTCAAACTTACGGACGACCTGTATACGTTCAAATGGCCTTGACTGTTTGACCTTGAAACATTATCATGACCATGATGAGAAGTAATCTCTTATTATTTCTTTTTTATTTCACATAGAAATTATACTTCCAATTTTCCATGGTTGCGTGTCAAATTCGGACGTATTTAGCTGAGGTTAAACGTCTTCAATTACTTCCTACGTTGATGTAAGAAACGATGTGATCAAACGATTAAGGCATTTTCTGACTACAAAGTCTAACAAGAAGATATAAGTGTAGTTCCTGGGAATAGTTTAAGCTTGTATTGATGTCAAATAGCAGTCCACTGTCTCTTCATGCATTGCCAGATCTAAAACTTCCACTGAGAAAATCCATATGTACTTTAGTTTAAACTTGAAAACTAGTATCAAATTATGTCGGCACAAACATCATGATCTTCATTATTTATAAACAGCCTGAAGTTCAATAGGTTAAGTTAGTCGTTCTGGTTCACTTTTTGATTCTAAGAGACTTTGCATGACTCACCAGTATCTACAAGAGGCTTCCTACCGAAACTATGTCATCTAACATAAAATAAGCTATTCAGAAGTCGGTATCCGTGGAGGGTCATTTGTTCCTGAGTGTTTGTTCGTGCTGAACTCATGGTTGATCGCTTCTGGCTAATTCAATATGAAATTCTCACCAGTTTCAGTAAAACTGAACGATATACCTATAATTCGGCTTTCGCAGCCGTGGTAACTTCGTTTTCTGTTATCTACCTCCATTTTGGGTCTTTTGATGTTCTTGATGTACTCCGTTGAGATCAGGTCTACTGATAATTCTAAAACTGGTGCGTGGTATACTGTATGCTCTCCGAAGGGAGACTCACAACCATAATCATACTTTCGATAGGTGCTCACGAAGTGTCTAGGTTTTGTAGTTAGGACTAGGAATGTTATCTATCACATTATGTCTTTCCGTGAACCATTCTTTAAATCATTTAACTATAAGAAAGGTAAGGGACTCATTATCTCCCATCGAATTGTTGTATTTGTTTGAAACGTAAGGAGACATGGAAACGAAGTTTAAAAGCTTCTTTGCTACTGATCGTGTTGGTAGAGCACGGAGATCGCTATATTCAATTCCTTTCTGCTTTAACTATAAGATCATGACTGTGGAAAAGAAGTGGTAACCAACTCATGTAAACTAAAAATAAGGGAGATGAATATAAATTTAGGAAATAAGAACAGTACGATTACTTTTAGAGTGGAAAGAAAGGTTGTCATCAAGATTATCATCACCAGAGGAACTTTGACAAGTTGGAGTAATTACATTGACAATTAGCACTTAGCATTTAGAATATTAAATATATGACCACTTTACTAACTTTAGAGACCGAAAAATACATCAATGATCGCGTAAGCTACAGTAATATGGTTCGAAACAGCAAACCGTGACCATTTGCACAGGAGTGTTTTCTACAGTAATTCGGGTTGTATATAACTTTAAATATCAATTACACTGAAGCATGGTAAAAAATAATTCTGACTATTATGCTCTTTGCCATGTGTTTCCAGCATGATACACGTATATTACGATAATAAGTGTGGTTATGTGCCTGGACGCTTTATCCTTACCTTCGGACAGATAAATAGTTATATGCTTACCGGTAATTTTATCACTTACATATGTGACCCAAAGCATGTGGACATAATAGTATACATGTTTCTGTATGTTCGCTTGCATCATTCATGTCTGTAAATGTTGAATCACATTTTGGCTGAATTAAAGAAACAGAGAAGCCTTAAATATGCCGCACCTCTTGCAATTTGTCTGAACGTCTGAAATAAATTTTTATGCAGCGGTAAATAAATCCCCAAAATCAACAGCTCTTTAAGCCTTCGACATTTGATGCTAACCGCATTAGTTTTATTGAACTCATCTAGCTAAAGACTCTCGGTCATGAATCCGCACCAGATCGTGAGTGGGTACGCCGTGCTCCACACCCCATACAACCGCTAGCAAGCTTAGATAATTCACTTCGCCATATAATGCATTCCACTCACAATAGAAAATCGGCTTTTCCTGCAACTTTCTGG